CCTACTTTCTCTAAGTGGCACATTCCTCCACAATCCTCTATTGACGACTCCCATGTTCTCTCACCCTTCCCTAAACCACTTGTCTGTGCTCTCCCTCCCATAAATTTTTTTTTATTCCTCTTGCTATTCATTCTCTGTTGCCATTCCACATCATGTCTGGGTTAATTAAGACTCAGAAATACCCATCAACAAACAAGCTCTGATGGAGCACAGAAAAACAAATGCACAGAGAGGCATAGCAAATGTGTAGCCAGCACAAACCTATCTGTCTATCTATCTGTCTGTATGTCTTTCTGTCTGTCATGCAAACACACACACACACATGCACACATATAGGTGCACAGACAACTGACAGCAACCTTCGTTCACTATGCAGTGCAGGCACTCACCAGCCAAGTACCAACCAGGGGCCCCAAAAATATAGTGAGCAAAAACGCCAGAGGAGAGGAAGGAAATATAACACACATGAAACCACGTCCCTGGGGACTACCTAAAAAGTGTGCCTGCAATCCACAAGGCCATATCCAGGTTACTACCATACTACCATAGTTATTGACAGCAAATGGCTAGAGTGAATCCTGAGCTGGTGTGAGAGCCTACAGAAGCTTCTCTAATTGGCTTATGGTATCTCAAATCTCCTAAAGGAGCTAATTTGAAACAGCTATGTCATGGTTAAGGTTTAAATCAGCTGATTGATATAGAATTATGTGTCATTACGTGTGTGTTAATAAGCATGCGTTGCTGCATTATATTCTGCATTATATTCTAATAAGACTTTTAGATAAAAGGCCTTAAGCAAAGTGTGCCAAGCATTCTTACAATTAAATACGACTACACAGAGAGCAAAACCAATTCCAGAGAAGAGCCTCGCAGAACATTTACAGCATGGCAAGTTATTGTCAGTGTCACTTGATCAGTGTTATTGTGCCAGGACTCAATCCATCAACCGCCAATCAATCCAGCGCAAAATATACCTTAACAAGTTTTGGGAGATGCATTACAAAACTACTTAAAGTCTGTGGGTTTCATTCAGATAATGCAAGTATAGGGTAGTAAAGGTTGAAGACATGAGTGCAAATAAACCATGATAGACATTTTGTTTCTACAGAAGTTACAGGACATCCGGAGGATTAAAAATTGAGACAAATGAAACCATAAGTGCAAAGACGGGTAACGTCTATAAGGAATTGCTCTTTTAACGTACTTGTATTTGAAGTGGTTACAATGGTTAGACTCAAGATTTCGGGAAGCTGAGCTGACCTATGCATAAGGGAATCTATAACACCAGCCAAAGCCCAGTGGAAGAATACAGCAGCACGATATGTCACGATGCAAATTCAGCATTAGGGCCACAGAGACAGTCAAACTGCAAGTAGACAATACAGAGAGAGAGAGAGAGAAAAACATAAAAAAAACAACCTTGGGAGGACAGAGACAGAGAAAACCAAGGACAGAAAGAAAGACACGCGCTTTTACCGTGCTGAAGTCTTGCCAACGTACAAACCTCAAGAGAGATGTTGTAGGAAAGGTTAACTCCACTGTGAAATTCAAATATCACTGGCACAACAGAGGCAGATTCAAACAAGCGGTGCATGTTTACATATTCATACAAAAAGGAAACATTTAGCCAACCTTCAATCCCTTCAGTTGCCTGTATCTAACATTTCGCCCAAAGTATGAAATCACTTGGAGATATTAGTGCAGGATAACAAGAGGATTTATTGGGATGAAACCACTCAGCATGGTATAACGGGACAAAGCCCAGCACTCATTTGTGAAATATTATCGTGGCTGGGTGACGGGGAGGGATAGAGGATAAAAGGTTGCCAAGATATGGGACTATAGCAAAATCATCAATGATCCCAAAACTTTATTTATTTATTCATTTGGGGAGTTGGGGGTGATGGTGAGGGTTGGGGTTAACAGAGTAATGCATTATGTTTTTAATCAAACTGAGTGCACACTGAAAATGCTGACCATATAGTCTAACCTCTTGGTCAGGGAAAGGAAGGCTTTATATATATGTGTGTGTATGTGTGTGTGTGTGTGTGTGTGTGTGTGTGTGTGTGTGTGTGTGTTTGTGTACATGTCCGTATGTGTGTGTCAGTGTATAAGTGAGAAAGTTTGAAAAAAAAAAAAAAAAAGCAGACAAATGAGGCGGGGCAGCAGAGCATGGGGGTACAGCAGTGTGAAACTTTCTGTGAGTAGAAAACAAAGAGCCTTGACGTAATGCTATACCATGCTTACAAAGGCTTTATATGAGGGTGAACTCCACTTATTTGAGCAACAATAACTATAAAAAAAAAACAAACAATGAATACAACACAAGGTAATATGTTCTGTATTATAAGCTTGAAGACCGGATCATTGATGATCTATACTGGAGATGACTAGACTAGCTAAGGGCCTTCCCATTTAACAGGGAAGTATGTGGTTTGCTACATATCTTTCACTTAGTGTACGCTGACACATATGAGAAACTATAACACCCAATTACAACTGAGGATCACCACTCCTAGTAAACCTATTGAAATCAAAGCAAATTTGCATATCATGCCCATTTTAAAACAAAACAGAAATGCAACCTCCTTTTCATAGATAATCACAAATTTATAGACATCAAGATTTGCATCGTATTTTTCCCAAATTAAAAATTTCACCTTGTGATGATGATGATGTACTGTGAATACCATATTTACTCCACAGCTGCTTCAACCTTTTTTTTTTTTTTCTTGTTTTATTTTTTTTTGCCTGTTTGTACTATTTGGTCCCAAAACAGAATCAGGCTAGGATAGGGAAAGATGAAATATGAAAAATGCCACAGCAAAAAGATTAGCAAATGATGGCTGCTGTGGAGGAGACAATTGAAAATTAAGTTACCACTGTACCACTGGGAATTTCAATGCACAAAATGTCAGTGATCAACAATCCTGAACAAAAATAAAAAATACCAATATGTAAAAACACTGATCTTTTTAGATTGTTCTCTTCAAAAAAAAAAAAAGTAATTTTGTTGACACAGCTACAATTACCTGCTTTATTCTGCCATTTTCAAGATAATTAGTTAAAAATAAGGACAGAACAGATGAAATGAATAAAATGATCTTATACCAGATGTAAGTTTTATATATAGATATTCTGAAAATAATTCATACTGAATATGAGACTTGGTGACCTCTTAGCATAAACAAATTGTGCATTACATTATAAATGCATCCAGCCTGCTAAATGCCTAATGGGTCTGAGAGCCTTTTTATCGCCCCCCAGTGGAGTGGACCCACACTGCTGCCTTAGAGGGAGTCAGAAATTAGATGCGCAACTGCAAAGAGCTACTTCCAATCACGTTTTCACTCACCCTCTCAATTACTGTTTATTAGCCTAAATCAGCAGTACCCGTTAAGATAATGAAAATCACAGCTTGCTTCACTGATTTGGTATATCCTCTCTTATCATCCACTTCAGAACCAGCAGCATTCACTTGACTTGCTCTGGCATTGCGTTTTGTGTGTCTTTTACCTTCAGTTGACACCAATAATGTAGTGGCAGATACAAATTGCATGCTATGACATCCAGCAGCTGAAGATCATAGAAAAACTACCAATAGACAGAAAAAAAAATATTATATTTTCCAGAAAAATAACTTTCTGTTTGCCCCGTCATCACTCCTCACTCTATTATTTGATTTGGTGCTAATCTGAAAATAATGAGGAGCTGAAGTAAATTTCAATGTTATTGCCCTCCACTACATTTCTGTCTAGCACTCTATTGGTTCAGTAGCTATTCTTCCATCTCCAGGAGCATTATCGCATGATGGTTGGCCACATCCTAAACATGCCATTTTAACAAGACATCAAATGCACAGCCTGTCTGTAGCGCTCCAAACACAGGTTCCCGTGGCATCAACCCCTTCATCATTTGATTGAAGACTTTGTTTTTATTAAGAAGGCTATACCAGACGCATAATCACTATACATTGATTTAACATTACCTTTACAATTAAATTCTTCACTGAAATTACAGAATAAATATATGCACATTTTTCTTCAAATCTTTGTGAGAGAGAAAACATTAAAAGTGCCTCCTACAAAGCCGTTAGTGGGTGACAATGGGGAATCCAGAAGCAATGGAGGGGGAGGGAAGGGGGGGGGGTTCTTAACAAAGTGCGTGGAAATATCCAGAAAACCTTGAGTGTTGTCTTATAATAATATTCACAAATGTTTTACCATCCGTGCGTCGGCGCGTCCTTTTTACGAGAAGCACCCTGATATAGACAGAAGTCCTCATTAATAGTAATAACCATATTAATAAGATATAAAAATTAAATAGAACACTGAACTGTAAATGCGTTGCAGTATCTCTGTTCATAATGTGATGTGATAGTTCTGAGTAAATCCCCTCGCTTCCTGCACTGAAGCGAGTGCATGCAGCAAACTGCAGTTCATTTTATATATGTATTTTTTTCTCTCTCTCTTTCGATCATTTCCTGCAAACTTTATGTGCACGGCCTCCGGGTGTTTGTACATCCTAGTCAGGGGTAAAAGAGACAGAAAGAAAACCACCAAGTCAGGGAGACGTCCAGCTCCCGTGTATCTTGCACATCATGGTAACTCCATAAAAAGGGGTTTTAGTGACAGATGTATTTTAGGATGTTTTGTATGTTTTATTCCCCCGGTGCCCCTCTCGTTCCTCTTTTGCTCTCTCTTGGGCATATAGAGATATTTATATATTATAAAAATAACGGCTGTTGACTTTGCTGGCTACTCTGAAAAAAAGGCACTTCATTGAAATATCTGAGAATGGCCTCTCCTCCAAAGTGATTTGGGGGGGAAACGTTGTTGTAACTGTAATATAATATTTTATTTTATATCATGCTGCTTTTTCAAGTTTATTTTTCACTATTGGTTTTGGGTGGTTTTTGTTTTGAGGGTGGCAAAGTGAATGTGTCGACTTTGTGATTTGTTTTTTTTTTTTTTGTTTTTTTTTTTTTTTATGTTGTTGTTTTTTCTCCGTGGGCTAGAGATGTTAAAACCGGTAAGATTTTTCCAAGACTTCGAGGTAATCCGGCTTGGTTTGAAGTTTGGCCCTTAACTCGAGGTAATCGCTTTGGGACGGGTCGGGGTAGCAGCCTTTCCCCGCCGTGAAAAGCAATGTCTCCTTCAGCCGTGCATCCTGCTGCAAATCGGGGTACTGCATGCCTGGTGGGTGCGCATGCGCCACATGCATGTCCTTTAGTTTGGGTACTGTCCCATACAAACAGTCTACAAAGCCCACTGTCGGTGTGGGCCTCTGACTGTCAATCACTGTAGGGCAGAGCCCTCCATTCTCATGAAATCCTGCCATGTCAGCCGTGGTGTGGTTGACTGTGACGATGGTGTTGAGTTGAGAGTTGGAGACGGCCAGGGTCCACTCTCTCTCTTTCTCTAACAAGGTTCTGTAGTTACTGTTGCTACTGCTGCCATTGTCTTTCTTCTCTGAAAACTGCGCTCTGTCTTCCTCTGCTATCTCCCCCTCTCTCGGCTTATAGATGGGGTTATTACACATCTGAGTCACAGGGTGGGGGATGTAATCATAAACGTGACCATGGGCATGTGTGTGACTAGTGTGAGTGTGTGTGTGCATACTGGGTGTGGGTTTCTCCGGTGTGCCAGTGTTACCAGCACTACTCTGCCTTGGTGGGTCCTCAAAAATCCTGCACTGCATCTGGATCCCTGTTAGATCTACCTCAGAACGTTTCCGGAAGGGCAGCTTCTTCCTGCGTCGGAGAACAAAAGCGAAAAGCCCGGCAGCGACAAACACAGCAGCAATGAAGAGGATGAGTAGACTGAGAATGAGGACAGAGAGTGGGACAGCTCCTCTCCCACTTGCCTCTCCCATGTCAGAGCTGCCCGTGGTGAGGTCATCCCCACCTGGCAGAGCTGGCGAAGGAGAGTACTTAAGCTCAGGGCAGATGACCTCAACGTCCAGTGAACGCAGATCCTTCCCAAAAGCAAACTCAGGTGTCTTGCAGATGACATCTCCAACCACGATGACAGAGGAGAGCTTTTCCAGCCACTGTTTCAGGGGGATGATATCACAGGAGCAGTCCCAGGGGTTCTGATGGAGATCAATCTGGACAATGGAGGTCAGATGCTCCAGAACACCACGTACAGGCAGGGAAAAGAAGTAGTTGTTACGGAGGTTGAGGCGTGCAAGGTTGGTGCCAGCAAAGGCGTCAGTGGGGAGGGAGCGTAACAGATTGTCATTGAGGAAAACCAGCTGGAGATTTGGCATTAGGGAGAAGGAGTTAGGTTGTATCTCACGTATGACATTATACTCAAAGTAAAGATAACTCAACATCTGAAGACCGCGGAACATCCCAGGTGTGAGCCTTTCAATGTCATTCCCATTCAGATATAAACTTTTCAAGTTTGGCAGGTTAATGAAGGCGCCCTCTTGGACGTAGGATATCCGATTATTCCCTAAATGCAGTAAATCCAAACTTGAGAAATTCCAGAAATCAGAACGGTAGATTTTCTGTATTAGGTTCCCACTGAGGTACAATTTCTTGGCATTGAGCGGCCGAGGAAGGAGCTCAGAGATGTTGTGAAAGCCTTTTTCTTTACAGTTCACTGTTAGCCCCAGGTCATTGATGTGAAGGTTGCAAATACATCCAGCTGGACAAATTATGGGGATGGGAGGCCTTGTTTGGTAGCCAGCAATAGGGGGTTGGTTGATGCCTGGATAGATGCTACGAGGGGTTGGGGGGTTCTTTGTGGGCCGAGGTCGTTTGGTAGGCTTGACAACTCTTTCCTTGTACTCCACAGAAGATGCTGTGTTGTGAAAGGAAGAGAGCATGGAGGAAGGTTTAGTAGGCCATGTGTTCTCATTGCTAAATGGGACCCGGGGAATTCCCAGCTTGGCTTCAATCTCTGCATCGGAGAGTAGCGGACAGAGCTCACTCCGCTTGATTTCCCTTAAGTCTTTCCCATGTAAGTGGAATGGGTACTCACATGTGATCTCACCTACCAAAGCTGTATAAGGGATTCTCTCCAGCCATGTTTTTAACTGGACAATCTCACACACACAGTTCCAGGGGTTCTCCTCCAGCTGGATTTCCATTAAGCTCCTCCCAACATACTCCAGCGTCCCCTTATACGGCAATGTCTTTAGTCTGTTTCCTCTCAGGTCCAGATGTGTGAGTGACACAGACCGGAAAAGATAATTTGGGAGCACGGGGATCAGATTGTCATTCAGTATGAGCACTCTCAATTTGTGAAGGTGCCTGAATGCACCACTTTCAATCCTTTTGATAACATTGTAGTCCGCTTGGAGATACTCTAAACTCTCCAACCCCAGAAAAGTGTCATTCCGAAAAACTTCTAGTTTGTTTTCGTGTAGGAACAGCCGTTTGAGTATTCCTAAGCCATTGAACGCCCCAGCATGGATATCTTGCAAGGCGTTATTACCCAGATTAATGGATATGGCATTGTTGAGATGGAGGAAGCTGTTAAAGTAAAGCTTCCTCATGGAGTTTCTCTGCAGGTTGAGCTTGAAGGGCCGACTCCATATCTGTGAGATCTGGCTGACATTTGTAAATCCTTTACTGTCACAGTGGACGTGGAAGATGCCCTCTTTGACTTCGCAGTAGCAAGGCTCGAAGCAGGGCTCGTCGATCTCCTCGGAGTCCTCTAGTAGTGGGATTGGGGTGGTCCATCCTAAGGCTATGGTGCTCAGCAAGGTAACCCACAGCATCCTCGCTGACACCAAGGGGATGAAGTCTCGGCTCCAGGGACAGAGCCACTTCACAGCACTGCAACAGAGAACAGAGAGAGAGAATGGGAAGGAGGGAGGGGATGAGGGTAGTGATGACACACACACGCAGGTGCACACACACCCTCACAAAGCGAAGTTTGAGGTGAGAGAGGCAGGCAGAGAGGAGCGAGGAGAGAGAGAGGAAGGGTGCATTAGTTTCAGTAGAATGGAAGACAGCTTTGAAATGAATTCCAATTAATAATAGAATTACATCTGAGACTACTTTAGATGTTGCAGTTCTGCTGGGTATTTCAAACAAAATATGAGCCCGACACACTTGGATGGGTAATGATACCCAGCAACACAAACAAATATCTACCCTCAGACATGTTCTGTCACTGTAAAGTGGAAATATAATTTATTATTCAGCAGAAATGATGGTAAGGTCGCAGTAAATCACCCTAGAGATGCTTATTGCCATGGTTAAATGAAAGAAACAGCAGGTGGGTGAGGTTACTGGTAAGGGGAGACAGTCCCTCTGCTGTATGTGTTACATAACAGGGACCTCAATCCCTCTTTCCGTAAATGAGTCCAGAAATGCGCGGTGGAAATTAGAGTAGGTGCATGATGGTCTAAGGCAGGAAGAGGACGGGCACGGAATAGGTGTCAGCCTGGTGACCATTAGTGGGACGAGATGGGGACTGTTGAGGGACTTGCTGAAAATCCATCTCGTTAAATCGAGTCTCAGCATATTTATATATTCTCGACTATGAGTCATGGAAATTTGATAAAAACGAACAGGTAAATATTAAAGTAAGTAAACAGTACCACTAAGGCTGTAGAAAATGCAATGACTTGAATTTAGGAGTGTGAAGATGTCAAAAATAAGGAGGAAAAAAGGAAAATAATCCAACAGTTCCACTTTTTCTGATATGCAGAGTACCGCAGATTTTAGGTTATTTTCCCTCGTCGTTTTCTTGTCCCCACAGATAAACCCATAGAATAGGGAAACGTGTCGATTTATTCATTGTTACTGAACCTGCAACCCCCCCCCCAAAAAAAAAAAAACAAAAAAACAAAAACAAAAACAAAACAAAAAACCCCCCCAAAAAAACCAAAAAGAAACAAAAAGAAAAAAATCAATCACTACAACTTATGCTGGCTTTCCAGGTGATTCCATTTGAGGATTAGACGAGAAACGGCGCAAGTGAAAAGCGCAGTGGGCGAAGCTCAGTTCTGAGGATGTGATTGAGTAGATCCGGCCTACAAAAATGATAACATCATAAAGAAAGAAAGGGCGAATGACAAAAAGTAATAAGAATATTGATTACGATAATAAGCGCCTCATTTTTTTGCTTTGATTTAAAAAAAAAAAAAAAATGAAAAAGAAAGGCTAATAGAAGATTCCGTCCAGTATCTCCATGGTGTTAAGTGGGTAAAAGTCAGACACACACACACAGGCGTGCACATAGCCTCTGAATATCTTTTCTGTAGGTTGTGACTTTTCACACACACACACACACACACACACACACACACACACACACACACACACACACACACGCACACACACACACACGCACGCACGCACACACAGACACACACACAGAGTGAGAGTGAGAGCTCTGTCCATTCCAACTGGGTGCTGGAAATCCAGATGAGATGCGCTGGGACCGTCTGCCGGAGCAGAGCCGCTGTCCATGATGCTGAAACCAAAAGCCAAGCGATAGGGAAAAAGAAAAAAGGAGGAAAAAAAGGAAATGTTTTATAATCCCCCCAAAAAAAGATGTGACAGGAAAAACGCACCAGGGAAGAAAAAGAAAGATCCTTGAACACGATCTCCTCGCTGCAAAATTGACTGTTTTCATTTCCCCCTCCATGCGTAATCCTCCAGGGTTTTATTGATTCCGCTTCCATGTTTGAGATCAAAAGAGCGTAGATGCGATGTCAAAAAAGTGTTAATGAAATTTAAATCAATTAAAAAAAACAAAAACAATTCGTGCCATATTATATTCCCTTGGGGTATATCAATTCGGGGGTATACGTACTTAGTTTAGTGGGATTCCAACTTCACATATCCTCCTGCGGCGTGTCCTGTTGTTGCCCGGTGCGTCCCGCTCACCGTCCGATGCCGGGCTGTGAGGAAGAGAGCGAGAAATAGAGGGGGTGACCAAGCCGTTAGAGAGAAACAGGAGCAAACGGAGAGGGAGAGATGGAAAGAGAGAGCAGGGCACTGAGGGAGAGAGGAGGGGAAGAGATGCGCATGTGAATGAGCCACGGATTCAAACGCGAAGCTGGGTGAGATTCTCTACAGCTCCGTAGCTTATACTTACATGAACAAAAGTGCTGTCAGTCGTCAGTGATATTTTCATAAAAAAAAAAACAAAACAAAAAAACAACCTATTAAAAGATCCTAATCTTGAATTGATATTAAACTTAACTTACAATAATGTGTAACAAGCTGCTATGTGGCCAAAACGGTGAGAATCCTGCTGGTATCTACTGAAATACCCCCCAAAATAACCTCGCTGTCAATAACAGCGGAGAGAGCAGAGCGTTTATTGAAATACATGCCAAGCATAATGCAGTAGCCTTTCGTCGTGACATTGGCAGGAAAACGGCGGATAAAAAAACAAAAAACAAACGACTATTGATCAGTCGACTGCATGCCTACGATCCCTTGTCCTCGATATATGAGGAGAGCTGCTTGTCCCTTTTTGAAGTCCATGGCTATGCAGACACCAATAAGCATATAATCACACACGCACACACACTCATGCGCCCATCTGCATAAATTCCCCTTAAGATACACTCACACGCAGGCAAGCAACCACTCACCTTAGTTTCGTTCTGCGATTGGAAAGCATCGGGGAAAAAAAGACCACTAGTTTGAATCTTGTTAGATCTCTCTCTTGCTCGTTTTCTCTTTCTCTCTTTCTTCTCCCCCTCTCTCTCTCTCTCTCTCTCTCTCTCTCTCTCTCTGTCTCTCTCACACACTCCCTCACTCTCAGTGGCTGAAGCAAAAGAGAGGAGAGGGGAGAAATGAAGACGTGATAGGAATGCAATCTCTCCCACTCTCGCTCTCCGATGACTCTGACTCTATCTCTCTTTCTCTCTCTCTCTCTCTCTCTCCTTCTTTCTCGTCTCTTATTTTTTTCTAAGCAGTTTGCTTAAAATGCAAGTCCTCGACTTGTGCCCGTCCGCTTCCTCTTCCTCCCCTCTCCTCCTCCTCCTCCTCCTACTCCTCCTCCTTCTCCTCAGCCGCCGCCGCTGCCGCCGCCGCCTCCCGGGCGAGCGCTCAACAGCAGTGCAGCCGGGTGAGAGTGTTCTCCTCTCGGCTTCAGGACCGTGCCTCTGGTCGGTGCAGCAATAGCAAGAGTCTGTGGATCATATCGGCGGTTGGGTCAGCTGCTGATTCTCTTTCTTTCTTTTTTTTTGTCTTTCTTTCTTCGGGTCCGTTTCTCTGCCGTGCGTCAGAGGAGTGAGGGACTGAGCTGTGGAGATGGAGTGCGGGTGAGGCGGGGGAGGGAGGGCGAAGGGGTGAGAGACGCAGAGGAGAGAGATCTGGCGGTGAGAGAGAGAGGAGGAGGGGAGGAAAAAGAGTGATGGGGACGGTTGCGCTATAGTTCTGGATGCTGTCGAGAGGAGGAGAGGAAACGAAGTGAGGAGAGGAGAGAGTGAGAGCGCTCTGGCTTTCGCAGAGGGGGCGCGCATCAAGGGGAAATAAATAAATAAGAGTAAGGGAGCGCGCCGCGCCGTGTGGGTGAGACTTCCAGACCTGTGGATGACAGTCAGGACGGAAGACGACTCTCTCTCTCTCTCTCTCTCTCTCTCTCTCTCTCTCTCTCTCTCTCTCCTCTCTCCATGATCTTCATTTTTTTATATTATTATTGAGATTCATGCAATAATAATCACAATGATACTCAATCCCTTTATTGTGGGTAATTTACTCGGCTGCAGTTGGGCGAGCAACTGCAGCCGATACCTCCTCGCTCTGCTGTGGAGACGAAGAGGGTGGCCGCGACTATCTACAGCGAGCGGGGGAGAGGCAGGGAAATACGGAGCGCTTCATCTTTCCCTTCCGTTTGCGTGCCTTCCCCCGCCTCGCCTCCAGCGGGCAACACAAGCCCGTGTTGTGAACAGCAAGTCGAGCCATGAGCTCACAAGCAACTCCAGACACCATCACGAATTCCAGTTCACGCAGCTCTGCAAGGAGGGGGGCTGATTGCAGTGGAAAGTTGAAATCTCTCTGATTATAACACACAACCTGAGATGTTGCCACTTTGAGGCTTCATTACAATGAAGCCAGGCTTAGCTTAGGCTGCTGGAATACTTACAGTCTTACAGTCAGGGTAGCTTTATAGAGAGGATACTTAACATGTGAAAAGTGTGGAAAGGAGCTGTTGTCTAATAGCCTAAAGCTTGTTTGACATTTCTTAGGAAATCCTTCAACAGTTGAGCATGAGGGAGCAACTAAACTCATGACCGATGACTAAACCCTGACATTATGAAACTGTTTACATAGATTTATATGACATATTTGGTTGTATAAGGGTGTGCACTGTGGTCTCTCACTGTGACCATTTATGGGAAATAAATCTTTCCGCAGGGGCACCTATGGGAGCGGCTCAAGGCTCCCGGTGGTCCCCTCACCCCACAAACAGACTGCGCTGACATTTAGGACTATTTCTAAAATGTTCCAGCCGTAGCATTAGACAGGTAAACTTTTATCATATCATGATGGATGAAAATAGGCTAGCCTAAATGATGAGCTCAGGGGAGGCTCTCATCATCTGGGCTTATAGGAAATAAATGAATCTGTCCTGTTGTTGCCGTCCTACATGTTGTTTTATGGGGGTCAGGAGACCTTTCTATTAATATTTTTAATTTATATCAGTGCAGAATCAATGACACTGCATGTGTCCCAGATCCATCTACCTACATAATTCTACAATAAAAGGAACAAATGTATACATTTCTACAGTAATAGTTCATAAAATCATAATTACAGATTAGTTTACATTGTAATACGATGCAAATACACACAACCTAAGCCTTAGCCCATACACAGAAGAATATACCGCGCATAAGCAGTGGATGGGAGGTTAGAGAAGAGTGTTTAGGAGCAGCTGGTGGTCTGTAAAACTGCCATTCTTCTTTATGAAAAGCCATCATTCACCCCTTCAGCCTGTCAGCTAATGTCAGGCAGACTGACACGAGGCCACGACAAACCCTTCATTCAACTCGCCGGACACGGATTGGCCCGGAGTATGTCACAATGAAAGCAGTATAGTAACCCAGAGATTATCCTTCAGGGATCACGGCAGAACAAAAAAGGGCCTTGGAGTGAGTGACATAAAAAGTATTGGTATAACATAAATAGATCAAGTCATGAGGAGTTTAATTGCACAGTTTTGAATTACCGCCATTATTGAATAATTAATGCAGTAAAGCAATAAAAAAATACATGTGTCCAATATCCTATCAACAATCAACAGTTTCTTTTAAGCACGATCTTTTCATAACCACAATCGGGTCGTTTCTCCTGTAAACACTAACCGTGGTGACAGCAGATCGGAAAGAGCTTCTGTGAATTGTTTTTGTTATTGGCATATGGGCCGTTTGGGCTGAGCACTATCGGAGATAGTTGTGCAAGATCATATGGGTTAGTTCAGAAGACGGGCAAACCTGAGGCCACAAAAGATGGAAGAATCTCCTCCCCACTCTTAGGTGAGATATTCAGATTTCTCACTTGATTGTAATATTTATAATAAAATTAAAAATAAAAAATACCAGGAAAAGTACAGTTAAACTGTTTAACTGAGATGTCTGGATGTGGCAACTGACATTAAAGCCAACTCAGTCATCAGTGACATTTTAAGGTCATCACTGCATGATGAAGGGACGTCAGTGACAACTCTGTCATCATGGACAGCAAATAGCACGGCAACCAGCGAGGGAGGAAATGGCTGTCAATACTGCTCAACCACAGCTGCACCCTGCAATGAAAAGAGGCAGGAGATGCTCCCATACGCAGCGGAGGGATGACAGTTATTTGTATAAGCCTACAGTAAAAGGTACGACTACCACAATGAATGTTTTCATCATAAAGATTAGAATGTGTTATATTTTGATTCATATAGTAACACGTTACACATTCCTGCGGGAGAGGTTAATCTGCAGAATAACTGGGGAAAAAAAACAAAAAAAAATAGAACCCATAGGTCGTCTGTGCGAGCAGCTCATTACGACCCACAGTTACGTTTTATTGTTCGCTGACCTTTCGCTGCTGTAGTAATTATGACTTGACAATACTTGAACAGAAATGGCCAGGAGAAAGGAACATCACTTTAATTAAAAGGCCCCAATCTTTTACCATATAAATTACAGGAATAGTCACATTTTTTTTTCTTTCTGAGTTAAACTTGCTAATGAAAAGTAACAATTTTCTGTAAAATATAAGGCTATGCCCTATACCCAATGCAAAAATTAAAGGGTAAAAAAAAAGAAAAAAGTTTGGTCTCCATTAAAAACTTTTCCCCCATTTATTTATTTTTTTTCTAGCTGTCACCTTTTGAAACTTCTTATTACCCCTTCTCTGCTTGTCATCAGTGGCATACGTCACGCCACCTGCCTCAGTCCTTTGTTGACCACACAGGAAGGCACAGTCAAATAATTCCCTGTCTATCTGTCTGTCTATCTATCCGTCTCCACGCCTGTCAGTCTGCCTGACTTCCAGGGAGTCAATATGTCTGAATGCTGGTCTGCCTTTCTTGCTGTCCACTTACATCCCCGCCTGGCCGCCTGCCGACCGCACCGACTGCCTGCCAGTCTTCCCAGCTGATGGCCTGCCTAGTTGGCTGACTGGCGGCCTGCTTTCATGTCCGTCCGTCTCTGCGGTGACGTATACCTACCTGCGTGCCTGTGACAGCCTGTCTGACAGAATTCCTTTATGCGGCCATAAGGATTTGACTTGGTCTTAGTGGTCTTATTTTCCACACAACAGTCTTGACATGAATGGATAGATGCTCATACTGTATTCTCAAAAACACAGAAGTATATCTTCTGCCCGTCTTGCTTGAATGGAAATGTTTTGTACTCTAATAATCTTATTTCAGTCTGTAACGGAGAAGCTCCCACCAGGAATGATTTTATTAGTTTGACATCTAGCTGTGTGCCTCATCTTTCCAAAATCAACCAAATTTTTTTTTAATCAAGGAAGAACAAAAATCGTTATTTAATGAGGCGTATGGTTTTAATCACAGCAGCAACATTGTGAAGGAAACTGACAAACTATCTAATTTGAATTCTCTTTAAAAAAAAAAAAAAAAAAATATATATATATAGTCACTGCATTGTGGATTTCAGTTTAATTAAGATGAATTTATAATGTTAACTGACAGGCATAAGAAGCTGTACACAATGCTCCAAAGAGTGTTGTGTGAATATATGTAATCTGCAGCTGCATTCACTTTGAAAGTTTTCTTTGTAGTTCAGGGCCTGGCCTTGAACAGTCAATGTGTTTCAAGAGTGAGAATGGAGCCTGGCCTCGGCTTTAAGAATCAGTGTCTGGGGAAAACTTTGACTTGGAAAACAGAACAATTGAGAACCATTGAAGATTTTTATTTATTTATTTATTTATTTTTTTCCATTGACATCTAGAGAAAATTCTTAGTAGAAATTAAGCTAAAGCCCAATGTGCTCCTTTTAATATGAATCCGAGTATTATAAGATTCTATTGTAGAAGCAGATTCTCACAGGATCACTCACTGCAAATATACTGGGCCACAGAATAAGTTAAATGTCACACTGGGGTTTGCCTCTGTGAATTTTTCCCAAGTTTATGAACTCTGTGTGTGTGTGTGCATGTCTCTCTCCGTGTGTGTGTGTGTGTGTGTGTGTCTGTGTATGTGTGTGTGTGTGTTGGCCGCTGAGCAGCACTTTAATGTGGTCACGTCTGAGTGACTGGCCCAATA